GGGAGAGAGGAGAAGGAGAAAGGAAGGGGAAGTAGAGTAGAAAATGATGGAGGGAAGACAGGATGTAGAAGAGGTGGAAGCAGGGGAGAGAAGAAAGATAGGAAGAGAGAGATAGGAGAGAGGGTGAGGGGGGAAGATGAGGTGTATAAGGAGGAGTGGTAAGGGGAGAGAGGAGAAGGAGAAAGGAAGGGGAAGTACAGTAGAAAATGATGGAGGGAAGACAGAATGTAGAAAGGGGGAGGAGAGAAGGGGAAGAAAGTGTCAGATAAGGTATAAATATGGTGTATGGAGCAGAAGAGCCAATAACTGTTTTTTTTTCCCTTTGGTAGTTGATGGTAAAATGAATTGATGTAATTATTTAATAATACAACATGATATTGACTATGTAATAGTATACATGTGATTATATGCTATGAAAATGGAAAATAAAAAAAAATCCTAGGAAAAAAAAATAGCTGCGCACTTTTCAGCAAGGTAACGACTCCGAATCTGTGAAAAGTTTCAAAAAAAACCCACCCACCGTGGCCATATATGCAGGTAGTCCTCGACGTACGACCACAAATTGGGCCCACCATTTCGGCAGCTAACGAAGGCGTTTGTTAAGGGAACGTTGCCCCGTTTTACGACCTCCCTTGCCACCGTGGTTAAGTGAATCTGCCCCCCCCCCAATTGATTTGGCTTGTCAGAAGGACGCAAAAGGAGATCACAGGGCCCCAGGACACGTGCTGCCACCGTCATAAATAGGAATCAGTTGCCAAGCGGCTGGATTTTGATCACGGGACCATGGGGAGGCGGCAACGGTCGTAAGTGTGAAAAACAATCCTGAGTCCCTTTTTTTCAGTGCTGTTGTAATGTGCGGTCACTAAATGAATGGTTGTAAGTCGGGGACTAGCTGTAATGGGCTGTCAGAATAACCTTGAGAGACAGGAGGAAGAGCTGCAGCTTAAACCAGAGGTCACCAACCGGTGAGAGAGAGAGAGAGAGAGATGAGAGAAAGATGAGAGAGAGAGAGAACAAAAGAGAGAGAGAGAGAAAGAAAGAAAGAGATGAGAGAGAAAGAAAGAGAGAAAGAGGGGGAGAGAGAAAGAAAGAGAGATGAGAGAAAAAGAACGATGAGAGAAAGAGAGTGAGAAAGAAATGAGAGAGAGAGAAAGAGAGAAAGAGGGAGAGATGAGAGAAAGAGAGAAATGAGAGAGAGAAAGAAAGAGATGAGGGAGGGAGAGAGAAAGGGAGAGGTGAGAGAAAGAGAAAGATGAGAGATGAGAGAGAGAGATGAGAGAGAAAGAGGGAGAGATGAGAGAAAGAGAAATGAGAGAGAGAAAGAAAGAGAGATGAGGGAGAGAGAGAGAAAGGGAGAGGTGAAAGAGAGAGAGAGAAAGAGAAAGAAATGAGAGAGAAAGAAAGAGAGATGAGAGAGAGAAAGGGAGAGATGAGAGAGAGAGAAAGAGGGAGAAATGAGAAAGAGATGAGAGAGAGAAAGAGAAAGAGAGATGAGAGAAAGAAAGAGGGAGAGATGAGAGAGAGAAAGAGATGAGAGAAAGAGAGAAAGAGATGAGAGAAAGATGAGAGAAAGAAAGATGAGAGAGAAAAATGAGAGAAAGAGATGAGAAGAGAGAGAGAGATGAGAGAAAGAGAGAGATGAGAAGAGAGAGATGAGAGAGAAAGAGAAAGAGATGAAAGATGAGAGAGATGAGAAGAGAGAGAGAGAGATGAGAGAGAAAGAGAAAGAAAGAGAGAGAGGTGAGAGCGAGAGAAAGAGGAGAGGGGGTGAAGGCCCGGTGTTTTGTTTTCTGTGGGAAACGGGTCCAAATGGCTCTTTGAGTGTTTAAGGTTGCAGAAACAGGCGGCCAACCTAAATGCCTGAAGGACCCCATCCCGTCACTGGGAGTCCAGGCACTTCAGTAAGATTCATATGAGTGGTCCGCGGGATTTAAAATTATGAATTTAGTGGTCCCTGAGTTCCAAAAGGTTGGCGACCCCTGGCTTAAACAATGGTTCGATGAATAAAATCTGGATCCAGACATGAAATAAAAATGTGACTATTTCAGAACTGGTTCTCTTTAGTCCCCTGGCACATAACAGGCTGGGCTGGGTTCGTTGGGGGGGGGGGGGGGGAGATGATCTATGCCTGACCCTTAGAAAAACAGAATCAAGTGAAATTATCCTCTGGGTGAATTACACCGTGACCCGACAAAAGCGCGAACGTCAAAAGCGCGCCGACAAAACCGTGGTGCTAAAACCGCGATGTCAAAAGCGCGCCGACAACAGCGCGCCGACAGAAGCGCGATTTAAGTTAAGGTAAGGTTTAGGGTTAGGGTTAGGNAAAGTTTGTGGCCTAAGTTGAAATAGGAGGTTTTTGTATATGTCTCCCTGCCTAAGGCTAGGTGGGCTTGTGTTGTGGGAGACCAAACAACTTAAACAACAAAAGTGAAAGGAAACTGAGGCAGTAGGAGAAGATGAGGAGGGGAGCAAGGGCAAATATGCTAGGCTGGAAATGCTGAGCCGATCTGAGGTAGGGGATGAGTCAGAGCTCGTAGCATTGTCTGGGAAAGACAATTCTATTCTTAGTGTGTCCTTTAAGGAAGAGAAAGAAAGGAAAGAACAAATCGCTAGTCCATACTGAACAGGCATGGACAGACTTCAGATTGGAAGGACTTACTACATTTTATTAGACCCTCAAGACCCATCAATGAAATCTAAGCTCAAAATGGTAATAAGGGATGGGGAGAAGGAGTGTCAGTTTTACTGACCTCTACTAAATGTGAATCCATACTGAGATTTTGAATTGTTAAAAGTTTAGTTTGGGTGTTTTAAGTGTCTGAACTGGGAGGGGATGGCTTTTATATGTAAACATCTTGCTAATTCTCCTCATGTTATTTATTGTTGTCCTTTATTGTCCTTTCACTCTTTTAGTTTGTAATCTATCCAAATAACTTTTATTTCAGGATGAATATAAGATAGATATATACAATTCTTGAAAAAAGGTTTCTTCTTTGGGATTTTCTGAAGCTTGTGCAGTTGAGTGCTACACATATATCAAAGGAGTCTGAATGAATGGATATGACCAATGTATAGTACTTGTTTGATGTCTTGACCCTATTTTCTGACAGCTACTAGTACTACTGAAGAAAACATTTCTTTGACATTAAATCGGTTGTATATTACAGCAGTGGGAGTAGGAAACTATTGATTCTGAAGCAGCTCAGCCATTTAAAAGAAGACAAGAAGCAGGTTTATAGTATCGGTACTTTAACAATATTTTATTATTTCTGTCCATGTTTACATTAGTGGTGCCTGTTAGCTTATGCGTATTGGATTTATACCACTACACTGTATGTTGAAACTAAATGTAGTCTTGCCTATCTCACTGGTAGAATATCTTCTTGTGTGAAAAGTTGTAAGTTCCCTAAAGCCTACATTTTAAACTTTGAAGCACGTGGGAGGCAGAATTAAGAAATCTAAAGCCGAGTACTTTTCAGAACTGTATTTTTCTTGTATTATTAGGAATTTCCGAATGTTCAGTCCTATAGGATTAGTTTTGTCAAATTAGCTTGATTTCCATTTAAAGAAGAAGGTATTCAAATACCAGCTACTATATTGAGAACAATATGGAAAGTTAATTTCATGCTCTGCTTAATGGTTGGCCATTTTGATAAAATTAAATGTTGGCCTAACTTGAGCTAGTCTGTTCTCTACTGTATTGGAAACGGCCCTGTTTTCAGCTGGACATTTTCCTCTGAAGCTTTTAATAGCAGGTATTAAATGTAGTAGATGTTGTCAGTCTGGGAAAGAAGGTCAGTATTGCTAATTTTCATAGGAAGTTGTAGAGTTGGGGCAGATATGTGACAAGACCCCACTTGTCCTTCCTTGGCTATACAGTATATGAACAAATAAATGTAATACTTACGTTCCAAGAGCCATATGTTTTACCACCTTTCTTTTTTAATTTTTGCAGAATTCCTCATTCTGCAGACTAATTTGCAGATTAGTCGATATGGGGGGGGGGAATTACAACCTTGTTGATATATAGTAATTTTTTCTCCACATCGACTAATCTGGTTGACGAATTCTGCAAAAATTAAAAAAGAGGTGGTAAAACATATGGATATACATACCACATACAAGTGGTGGGTTCCGGATCCCGTTCCAACCGGTATGGTTGGAATGGGCCCAGCGGCATCCACATAGATGTGTGCAGCACATGCATGCGTCTTAGCACCTCTGTGACGCTCCAGCTCTTGCGCGGAAGTGCCAAAGACTTAAAAGACTGGTAAGGAGGTCGGGTGGGCGGGTGAACCCTCCGCAGCACCATACCAGAACGGTATCCGGTGCTCTGGGCAGGGTCCAGTACGCCCGTACCAGGATGTATTACCTGCAACCTACCACTGCCACATACACATATAGATATACATACATACACAGACGTAAATACTGAAACCTCTCCATAATATTTTCCTTTGCCTACCTTTCACACGTGCTAATTTTTTTTATTTTGTTCCGTAACAGCTCTCTCCCACTCCCACCCCCAGCCCGGACAAAATATGCTCTTGCTTGGGCTCAAGGAAGGAAGGAAGGCGGGAAGGGAGGGAAGGTAAGGACGGGAAAGAAAGGGAAAGAAGGGAAAGAAAGGGAAGGGAGGAAGGGAGGGAGGAAGTTTCCTCCTTCGTCCCCTTTTTGCAGAAGAGCTCTAAGGCAGAACAGGGGGAGAGCCGCGCGGCCAGCCTTCTCGTGCCAGGAGCCCTGAGCGGGGGCGCGTAGCCCCTCCTTCTGCGCCCAGGGCGCGCTTCACCTTGGCTCGCGCATTCCGCGGCGATGACATCAGTAGCCGAGCCACTGAGCTACCTGCAACTAGAGGCGGCCGCGAAGGCAGCCCATTGGCCAGAGCCAGGCTGGGTGAGGAGAGGAAGGAGGGGAGAGATTAGGGAGAAGAGCGGGAAGGGAGGGGGGGAGGAAGGCGATGGGAACTGGAAGACGCAGGCAGCGCGAGGAGCCCAGCCTGCAGCGGTGGTGGTGGTGGTGGCGGCGACGGCGGCACATGGGTAGGACCAAGAGGCTGGCAAGCTGGAAGGATGAAGCGGGGCGGGCAGGGAGTCCGCAAAAGTAAAACGGCGGCGGCGTTTGCTTGTGTTGGGGATGCTCCGAGATTGGGCAGGTAGGCAATGCTTATCCTTGCGAGGGATGCCGATCGGTTTTCACCTTGCCCCCCACCCCGGCTCCTCTCCGGTGCAAAAGCTTTCGTTCCTACACCAGGGGGGGAGGGTCGGGTTGCAGCCGAAAAATAATTAGGAGAACAAGGTGGGCGGGATGGGGAGGCAGGTTGCCTCAGAAATACATGACATAATTGCAGAATACCCTGGAGTGCTCCAGGGATAACTGGATCCAACTTAGGGCTTCGTGGAGAAGTGTAAGGAAAAAGGAGGTAGAGGAGAAATATGATAAGAGATCACTGAAGTTCTCCCACAGAGAAATTTCCGGCCGAGGACCATGCTTGAAAAGAGATAAACAAAGCCACATGGTGCTGGCTGACACATGATTAGCTCATTTGTGGGCAGTTGGAGTCCAGCTAGAAGGGTGATAGCTGGAGGTTGAAGCAAGGAGGAGAGGTAGAAGCTGGAAGAATTTGAGTAAGGACAAAGATCACTGCTTGCCTTGAGTGGTTACTCAATTGCTGGATCAATTGAACAATGTCACAGTGAACCGAATGGTCCTGCTTGGCAGAAGAGAAACATGAAGCTCAGGACAAGTTGTAGCTTTTGCTTTATCCGTAAGGGTCACTCCCCTAGATCCTCTCCTTGTCTTCTTTGGAGTTTCACGATGAAATTAATCCTATGCAGGCTTGTTTGTTTGTTTGTTTTGGCAGAGCCTTGCTTGGGTAGAACGTGCAATTCCAGGAGCTTTTGGGGCAAGGAGGAAATAGAGGAGTGGTACGCAAGAAAAGAATAGAGAATAGCGTTCTTCAGTTTGGGAGAGTATTGGCATTTTAGTAAGATGAAGGAGGATTTCGTATGGTGTCTCATCCAAAGCTGGCAATATTGAAGCAGGAGTTTCATATACAGTATCCAAAAAGCCACCTGCTTCTTTGCATTGTTTGATTCAGTGGAAAGCCCCACCTAAAAGAAGCTTTAGCATCTGGAGACTCGTGGGCCACATCAGTTCATGTCTGTAGTGCCATCTTCTCTCTCTGTTCTCAGTGGTGAAAACTAGAAAGAAAGAAAAAAGCAAGAAAAATGGCAGACATGTAAGCAGGCTATCCATGTTGCTTGACTTGGCACTGAATTTGGACTGCTCATTTATCCAAAGTAGAAAACATACTAATTTTTTCTGGGTAAATCTGCTAGGACATTGATCTGTTCAGCCCAGTGTTGACTTCTCTGACTGGCAGTGATGCTCCAGGATCTTAATCAAGATCTTTTTAAACAGAAGATAGTAAAGATTGAACCTGGGACTTTTAGTCATAGAAGGACAAGACTTTACTGCTAAGTGATGGTCCATCTCCCAATATCGCCATGCATCATGTTTGGACAGTCACAAATATATATATACAGTGATTGAGCTATAACAGTAAAATCCTCCACTTTACTGGAATTGTTGTAATCTAGTTGCTGCCTCTGTAGTTTTTGACCATAAGAGATACAATATTGGTTGCCACATATGTTAATTTTATTTCACTGTGTTAAAGCAGAATATTGCCTAGGATATACCATCATGGAGGTAGTTTACATTTCATACCCTAATGAAGTATAACCCATAGCCTTATCATGGTTTTAGCCTAATTTAATACTTTGTCTCATTAATTGTATTGTCCATATACCTTTCATATGCTGATGCTTTATTTAGACTTAGATTTGTTTTTATATGTATAATGTGTTTTATTCATGTTGTATATCAGTGATTGCAGATGCCTCTGTAGATGCTATATATGCTAAATCAATAAATAAAACCTTATTGGAAGCCCCTAACCTTTTAGAAAGGTATGACAGAGCCATTTAGTTCAGGACCCAATATGAGAGTTCATAAATTATGTTTGTTGATATATTATTTTTAATATATTTTACATATGCCCGTTTTTAACATTTTTGTTACTGACATTTAACTTTTTGATATAATCTATGAATCTTTAAAGCAATAGGGATGACAAACAGGTCAAAATAAAAGTTTGGAAGATATCCTTGGGGGAATTGAACACAGGAACTCTTTTCATCTCTATAACTTCAAAACCTTGCTGCAGGACCCTCACATTTTGTAAATATTTAAGTATATCTTGCCAGCAGTTTAGACATTAATGGCTGTATGTTGCGTTATTTTGAGGGGACAGCACATTTATACTGTTATACAAGCTGCATACTCACTACTTTACATTGTAGCCAAGTGTCATTTCTTCAGCGTTGTCACATGAAAAGATATATTTGAATATTTACAAAATGTGAGGGTGTGTACTCACTTCTGTGACATACTGGTATTTCTCCATCCTACAGACTTGGCTCCCTCAGATCCATGAGGAAGTCAAGGTTTGAAACCTCAACATATAATAAGCTGCATTGACCAGGTCATACGTAGAGAAGCCTTCTAAACAAATTTACTTAAGAAATTAATTTGAACTTGCAATTTGTATCTTTCTGAGGGTTGACTGCAACTTAATGGCCTAGGTAGGAAATAGAGCCAAAGAGTAGAAACTTTTTAGATTCCAACTCCCATGCTGGCTGGGGAATTCTAAGAGTTGAAGAACACACATCTTAAAATTGCTAAGGTTGAGAAATGCTGCCCTAGACCCAAGAATCTGAACTGAGCCCAAATGCATTCCTATTTAGAGGGGATCTTTGGAAATAGGTTTTTACAAGCATAAACCCCTCTTCCTTCAAAGTCTCTAGTATTTAGGATGACAAAATCTGGATTCAACCCTTCAGTTTTCCTCTTTGTTGCCCCTTCCCTGGGTTGTGGGTTAGTGCCCAACCATAAATTCAAGATTGTCCACCAGAATTCTGAGCTTTGTAGTCAAGCATACAGGTAGATCTCGACTTACAACAGTTCATTCAGTAACCGTTTAAAGTTGCAATGAAAAAGTGACTTTTTACCATTTTTCACACTTACGACCATTGCAGCACCCCCATTGTGGCACGATTTACATTTAAGTGTTGGACAATTGACTCACATTTATGATGGTTGCAATATCTTGGGGTCATGTGATCCCCTTTTGCAACCTTTTGACAAACAAATTCCGCCAGTGGCCAGCAGAGCTGGCAGCAGAGTCGGACAGTCAGGGGGTTGGGGAGAAACATGGGCCGGTCCTGGGGGCTGAGGAAAGCTCAGACCAGAGCTCTGTGTCAGAGGCAGAGAGAGAGCTAGACAGCAGTGAGGCAGAGGAACAGCCAGAGCCTGTTCCCAGTGTGCGCATGTGCAAGGCTGCCAGAAGACAAGAACAACTAAGAAAGCAGGGTCGACTTGGGAGTAAAGCCACACCTTGGAGGTGGTTGGCCCCTTCCATAGGAAACAAAAGAGGAGCGAATGGGGAGGGGGCTTTTGCAGGAAACAATTTGTTCCTTCAGTCATTTCAAGAATGGAAACTTCTTCTTGTGACTTTAAGAGACTCTGTGCCAAGTGTTGCCTTGCCCTGTGTTTGGAAACTAGTTATCTGGCAGCTCATCAAGCGAGATAAGGTTCATGTTGATAAATATTCCTCTGAAAGACTGTTTGCGGAGCCTTGCTGACTGTGAATGAAAGGAATTCACAATTGTGTAAAGAGGTTTTGCTGGGACCAAGACTCTGCTTCATGCTTGTTAAGGAAGCCTAGGTCAGAACAGTTACTCATTTAAAAACTGCACTGATTCACTTAACAAATGTGGCGAGAAAATTCGTAAAATGGGGCAAAACTCACTTGACACATTTCTCACTTTGCAACACAAATTTTGGGCTCAATTGTGGTCATAAGTTGAGGGCTACCTGAATTTGAAAGGTGCTGGGTTATACAAAGTAGGCAACCAAATGTTTGGCTGTGTCTCTCCGTGTCAGTTTCTCCATCATGAGTTCTTCTCATTGCAATCAAGGGCAGCAGGGCTACAGCGGAGGGATGGAGAGGGAAGAGAAGAAGTACACCAGCTTTTGGGGAGGGAGCAGTTCAGCTAAGAGGAGTTTGCACAGTTCCTGGACCCCTCCCCCAGATTTTTTTTTCCTCCTAACCAAATGCAGTACAAGGCAAGGGACAAAAATCCTTTGGCATCAGTATCCTATTGCACCACTTATTTTGTAGGCTTCTCGTATGTCTCCTTTTGAATCTGTCTGACTGTCTCTTCTGTGACAGTTAAGAATGCACAAACGCTCCTACACCATATTGTTCTTCCTCTGCTAAGAGAATATTTCCATTAGTTATATTTGCCTGTTCATTTCCCTGGCCAGCCACTCTCACTTCCCTCTGTTCTTTTCTCTTTCTCAGTTTCTAATAGCCAGGCAATTGCAACTTTTCCTCTGGCCAGATTTTCCTCCTCCTTTTGCAGTAAGCAGAAGGGGATGGAGTTGGCTGGAGGGATGGACATGTTTAACAAGGGGATTAAGAACCAGATTTTGGAAGAGAAAACTGTATAGGTTGTCCTTGACTTATGGCCACGGTTGGGATCAGAATTTCTGTGGCTAAGCAAGGCAGTTATTAGATGAGCCCTGCCTGTTATTATCACCTTTTTTGCCACAGTTGTTAAGCTAATCACGTGATCATATAGTGAATCTGTCTTCCCCCATTGACTTTGCTTGTTGGAAGCCGTTGAGAAAGTCGCAAATGGCAATCACATGTACCTGGGATGCTGCAACCATTTAAAATACTTGCTAGTTGCCAAACAGACAAATTTTGGTCACATGACCTGTGAGGATGCTGCTGCAGCAGACATAAGTGTGAGGAACATCATAAACCACTTTTTCAGTGCCATTGTAACTTCAAATGGCCATTGAATGAGTGGTTGTAAATTGAGAGCTGTCTGTTCCGATTTCTTCTAAATGATTTCATAACTTGTTAAGAATAAAGATCAAAGCTGTAGTTCTGTCAGGTTCTTCCTTACATCTTTGAGGAGGGAGGTGTGTTTTACTAGAGAGAGCAATGATGTTGCTGGGTGCCACCCTCAAAGCCACGTTCTTTTTACGAATGCCAGTTGCAAGGAGTCAGCATTGGCA